GGTAGCGTTAGGGTGGTAGCGTTAGCATGGTAGCGTTAGCATGGTAGCGTTAGCATGGTAGCGTTAGCATGGTAGCATGAGCGTGAGCATTGGTAGCGTGAGCGTGGTAGCGTTAGCATGGTTGCGTGAGCGTGAGCGTGGTAGCGTTAGCATGGTTGCGTGAGCGTTAGCATGGTAGCGTGAGCGTGGTAGCGTGAGCGTGGTAGCGTTAGCATGGTAGCGTGAGCGTGGTAGCGTTAGCATGGTTGCGTGAGCGTTAGCATGGTAGCGTGAGCATGGTAGCGTTAGCATGGTAGCATATAGTAAATCTCCTATCTGTGATATTCTGTATGAATGAAGAGGCAGAAGGATGGAATATAACTATATATAGATTATAAAGGGCCATCTGAGGTGTAATGGGGTCTTCTCTGGTCCCACAGCCCCCCCCAGACCCCCCGGTGGGGGGGCAGGTTTCCCAGAATGAGGACCCCCCCCGTCACCCCCCGCCTTCTGCAGCTTTCAAAGCCCAAACAAACGCACCCGGACCTCCAGGGCGAGCGGGAGGTGAGACCTGTGGGAGTTTATGACTTCCTCAAACAGGATAAAGCTAAAAAAATCACATTAAATACAGCAGAACATCCACTTCTGAGGCCTAAACAGAAGAATTTTACAATATCCGAAGTGAAATTCGATCAAATATTCAACTCGAATCCCGAAGTAAACTTCCAATATACGGCGAAGTTATAGAAAAATATCTGAAATATCAAAATAAATAAAAATATCTAGCCTAAGTTGGTGTAAAGTTCCTGTAGTAAAGTCATCAAATATTCGACTCGACACCCAAAGTAAATCATAGACAAAGAAATATAAAATATAAAAATGGAATAAATACAAATAAGCCATGTTGGTTTAAATTTAACATGATGTAAGTTAGATTAAAAAATAAAGAAAAATAAATAGTAAATATTGAAATGAAATCAAAATAACTAGTCTAAGTTACTTTGAAGCTAAAGGGCCAATAAAAACCCTTTGTACTGATTATTTCTGCATCATTTATTTCTTTTTCCATCTCTCTTCTAGAATTCATTTGTTTTCTTGTTATGTGTAATTATCTGCAGTATTTATTAAGGAGTTAATGTAGGTTTTTGGAACCAATTCTAGGAATTACAGAGTATTCTGATGGGAGATTTGAACCAACACACCAATATTTAACACAGAAGTCGCTCCTGGAACCATTTATCTGTATTTTTTATCTGTTTTCCGGTCCAACTCTCCAGACTTTTTGGGGTTTGAGCCCTTTAGATGCTGGTTTAGCTCCTGGGGGGCTGTTTTTTAATTTTATTTAACATATTTTATGTATTTTACGTCTATTTAGGGGACATGTAACAGGATTCTTTCTGTTCTAATTCATATTTCAAATGATTATTTTCAAATTATTTTTAAAAAATTAATAATTCAAAGGTTCCCAAACTCCCAAAGACAGTGAAAACTTACCGTATAATTTCCATTAATTATTTTGGAACCAATTCTAGGAATTACAGAGTATTCTGATGGAAAATTTGAACCAACACACCAATATTTATGGAACCAGTTAAATACGTATATAGAGGTTCTGCAGTATTTATTAAGGAGTTATCGTAGGTTTTTGGAACCAATTCTAAGAATTACAGAGTATTCTGATGTAAGATTTGAACCAACACACCAATATTTAACACAGAAGTCTCCTATTTAGAGAGAGATCTGGATCTGGATCGGATCTGTTTTGGACCCTTTGGGTCCTTTATGATTTATGGGGTTCACAGAGACTAAATTCTCAGTTTTTCCTCCCCAGACCTCAGCCCCCAGGGGGACCCCCACCTCCCAGAGACTCGTGCAGCTGTCGCTGCCCCGGATGAGGGGGGGAAAATCCTGCTCCCACCTGGGGCGCCCCGAGGACCCCATCTGGACCGTAGGAGACCCCAAAACCCCCAGGAGGCCCCAAAACCCTCAGAAACCCCCAAAACCCCCCAGGAGGCCCCAAAACCCCCAGGAGGCCCCAAAACCCCCATAAACATCCCAGGAACCACCAAAAACCCTCATAAACCCCCCAAAACCCCCAGG